ACATGAGCCGTCATCGAACAACGATAGTTTACAGTGATTATCCAAGTCATATTTTAAAAATCCGGTAAACAGTTGTGTATAAACAGTTGTATATTCGGAAAAAATCCGTTATATATTTACTCTTACTTTCCTATTTCTTTTTTATATTTTTGTATGAATGAAAAACCAAATAAAGTATATATAAATTACAAAAATACAAACAAATAATATGTAGGTCAGACAGTTTGGATATCCGGAAAAACATAAAATTTAGAAAAATATCCGGAAAAAGATTACCCCTGGGTTTAAAACAATATTATAACATAAAATACGACAAAATGTTTTCCCCCGAGGAATAAGGTAAAATATTTTTTTCCAAAAAAGAAACCGATTAACTTAAGGAAAAATACCGCCTTACTTCTTTTTTATTTAGACCAGGTAATCAAACTCTTCCTATTCACCGAGATTTCGGGGAATAGGAAGAGTTTGATTATCTGTTAATCTGTAACAGTTTTTTCAATATTATATTATATGCTTTAATGTTTTTAATAATATGTGGCTATGAAAATAGCCGTTTTTTAAAAATGGGATATTCTTTATTTCACCTCAAATTATGATTTTTCCATTCCATTTCTCAGCATAATAATGTTAACAACAAATATCATGAAAACGATAAGGAGAATAGCATTTATTTACTGCTCCATTAATGTATTGGTTTCTAAGAAGATAATAATAAAAAAATGTATTATTAAAAAAAAAACTTTTTGCTGCTAAAATTATAATTAATGAAAAAAAAATAATTACGTTTTTGTGTGCAGACTTTTTCTTGTTTTTACAGCTATTGCAATACCATACAGACGATCTTGGCACAGATTTCAAAGATATACATTTAAGATGAAACCAATTATCACATGAATCACAACCGACCATTGTATCAACATTTTCTGAGCTTTTAGATTTGCAAATACAAAAAACATTATCATCATTATTTATGGTTTCTGTTAATGTAGAGGAGGGCAATTTCATTCCTGATTCAACTTCTCTTGTTACTAATTCCCTCAAAATAAATCTATTCCAAAAAACATCACATTTATTAAACACCGATTCCATAAAACTAATGTCAAGTTCAATACGTAAAACTATAAACTCACTGGGTGTACATACCATAAAATCACAATAGCTCACTCCAGTAACTCTCATTTCAAGCTGAACCAGGAAAAAATGTGTGCTGTTTTTGTAAAAAATATTTCCCATCCATATTTAATCCTACATAAAAAACATCTTTCAGTATTTCTTCTTTCAAAAATTTGTCTTTTAAACTAAAAGGGCATTTGATTTCTAAAACTCCATGTCCACAACAAGTGCAATACACAGAAGCATCAGGAGATGCTGCATACCATGGTTTTTCATAGTCGATGCAAAGCCCTAATTTTTCAACTTTTAAATTTTGATGGATGACAATGTCTAAAAGTGCCAATAAGTTATGAGCTTCATTACAGTCTGAATAAAGTTGTGTATATAAAGTCAATGCATTTTTCTTATTTTCTCTTCCCCACACTATTGGAGGACTTTTTATTGTTATATTCTTTTCTGAACAAATATTTAAAATTAAAGATTTAGGTGGTGTCTCAACTCTAGCATGAAAAACTTGATACAAAGTAGAACCAGTTATTCGTCCGACTCGTACCTGATACCAAGAATCACACAAAGATTGATTTCGAGTTGCTTCTTCAACATAGACAATGTCATCAGAATTTAATTTTAAATCTTTTATTTTCTCATCATAAAAAGAATTTAACTGTTCATTATCTAGAGATTTATAGTTTGCATTGAAAAAATTTCTGAGAGATAAAGGCAATTTTGCTACAACAGTAGATTCTAAGTGTATAAATTCAGTATCAAAATCTTTAAACAAACTGAGAGCAGCTGTTTTGGGCTGTACACTTTTCAATTCTGACAAAAACTGATATTTTTCAATATTTGTTGGAGAAACAGGCATTTTCCTAGTTCTTTTTCCTGTAAGTTTCTCTTTAGCAGCATCAGAATATAAATTTATTTGAGAAACTGGGGAACCAACAATATTTTTTACAAATGTTTGATTCCATTGACATGGTAAATCAGTTGGTGTGGATGATGTCATTCCAATGCGAACAGCAGCTTCAACTTTATATAATGTTGCAGCTACATGTGAGCATGTTTCACCAAGGCTGTTAAAAACAATAAACCATAGATTTAAATAATCCAAAAACACCTTTAAATAATTTCAACAGATTTAAATAATGTAAACAAAATTTAGTAGTTCATAAAACAAGATAACTTTTAGTGTTAAATTATTATAGTCAAGTGCTCTCCATACACTTACCCGGCCATACAATTACAGTGAGCAGTCACTACATTACCAAGTGAACCAAGAGCAATCCAAGGCTTATGATTAGGGGATGTGGTTCTGTAAGAAGGTCTAACATCACATTTTAAGATCATGATATCTTGACTTATCTTCATATGGACAACAGTTTGCACCCAACCTTATTGAAAGAACTTCCAAGCCTCCAATGACTTGTAGTTTTCCATAGCTTCTGGAGAATAGATGCCTACATAGTGTTGAATGTTTAAAATAAGTGTAAGCAAACATTAATATTCACTGAGCAAACTAACATAATTTTAGGATTTAGGAATTAAATATATAATAACTTAATAAATATATATTAACTTATAAACAACTATTTAGAAATATTTCTTACATGGAGTCTTAATCAGGTATTGATATAGATTATAATAACTTAAGGAAGGCCATTGAATAGGATCTTCAGTCCAAGAATCAGCCGGATACTTATATGGACACTTGTCCAATCCTAAAACGATCAAAATGCTATGCATTATTTTCGTTTATTCTGACGAAAATTATTTAAAAAAGTAAATTAACATGAAAATAATCACCTAAAAGACTTAATTTTCGCTGATATCTTTCTGCTGCTTCTTTTGATAAACTTTCAAAATAATTGAACGACATTATTACGAGTGCTTTCTTATCTTTGCGTTAAGGTGTAATGATTTGTTTTCCCTACATTCAATATGGTTACTTTTGTTGCGCAATAAGTCACGTGATTCCGACTAGATGGATGTGAAACCAAGAAGCCCGTTCAACTTGTCAAGCGCATATGTGTTAATCATACTTTATTGCCACAAAAACTGTGTTATCTATTTGGCGTCACGTATTTTTTACAAATAAAAAATACATTTTTACATATAAAAAACAGTTACATTTTTACAAATAAAAAATCTCGATACATTGAAAATTTTGGTTTATTTCTCACCTAAGTTTAAAACTTACATCACCATATTAAATCCTATTGAAATTTTGATAAAACAGCTGTTAGAAAATACGCATTTGATCTTATGCTACGCAAGAATTAAACAATTTTATGCGTGTTTTGTAAAAATTAAAGATTCATGAACTGAAATTTAAAAAAAATAAATACTTATTTTGTAAAATGGCGTCCGATCAAAAGTTTTCACGAACTGACTGAGAAAAAAATAGTTTAAAAGAAAAAAAAAACGCTGCCTTATATTCTTGACCAGGCATCTAACCTAGGACCTCTCAATTATGAGCTAGCGCTCCACGGCTGATTAAATTTAGCTCTGATTCAAATTAACAACAAATAAAATACATACCGGAAAAAACGTAGTTATAAAGTCGATCGAAAAAACAGTAGGTCGAAAATTCAGTAGGTTGAAAATTCAGTTGGTTGAAAATTGAGTAGGTTGAAAATTTAGTAGGTTGAAAACGCAGTAGGATTAAAAATTAGTAGTTCATGTTTTAATTAGTAGTAAGTATGAAAAATCAAAAGTTGTAGGTTGAAAATCAAAATTGTCATATTCTATGATTTTAAAAATTTCAAAATTAGGTCCAGTTATAGGCCACCTATATATATATATATATATATATATATATATATATATATATATATATATATATATATATATATATATATATATATATATATATATATATATATATATATATATATATATATATATATATATATATATATATATATATATATATATATATATATATATATATATATATATATATGTATATATATATATATATATATATATATATATATATATATATATATATATATATATATATATATATGTATATATATATATATATAAATATATATATATATATATATATATATATATATATATATATATATATATATATATATATATATATATATATATATATATATCCTACTCTTAAGGGATCGTCCATAAATTACGCAATGCTAAATTTATTTAAAAAAAAAACCAATTTATTTAAAAAAAAACTAATTTATTTTTAAAAAGTAGTAGGTGATCTTAAGCTCCTTTACGCTGCAATTTTCATTAAACTTATTATTATCTGCGAGTTTTGATTATTTTAGTTTTGATTATTTTAGTGTTGCGTAATTTAAAGACGATCTCTAAGATATATTGTTTGTATAATCTAAAATATTATACAAACAATATTTTGGTATAAATTAAAAAATATATTTACCGATATGCAGATTATGATAAAACTAAAATAAATTCAAGCGAAAATAAAGTGTCATTTCCTAACCCTAACCCTAACATATAAAAGTATACATACAGGTTATTAAATGCGCTTTTAAATCTAAAATTAAACTTTTTATCACGTCAAACTATTACTAACGAAGTTTTTAATGTCTGAAAAACTTTTGACGAGTATATACCGTGTATACACCGAGTATACACCGTGTATACACTGAGTATATACCGTGGCATTTATCCACTGAATAACATTTTCAGATAAATAAAAAGTTAAAAATCTGTATAAACAGTTAAAAAACTATTAGGTTCTTAATAAACAGCAAATAAAAGTCATGCCGATTCTTGACTTTAAGCAGCAGGTTAAATAATATTTTATTAGAATGAATGCAAACAGAACTTTAACAAGTGTATATTGATGCAGCTAAAAGTATATAAGTTCTTATTGACGCAACTGATCAGCCCCCAAAAGTTAACATGAACATATATAAAAAGATCTCTATACTCCAATAGTCACACTTCTACTCAGTTCATTTCACAAAATGCAGATCGTAACCATATTGATTTTTAGTTGCTTTGGTTGTGGTGTATTCAGTTGGGTGGCGGAGATGGAAAGTAAGTTTAAAAGAAAGTTAAATATTTTAAAATAACCTAAACCCATCAAAACACTTGACATAAGCATTATGTCAAGTGTTTTGATGAAAAGTTGGTTTAACAACCAACTTTTTTTTTGAAAAAATAATAGTAATAAGTTTCAAAAAGTCTATTTAAAAAATAAAAATTGGCTTTTCATATCTTTTAAAACGAGACAACCAAATTGTAGTATAAGACTGATTAATAAAAGAACAAAACTTTTACTTATGTTCTTCCGGAGAATCTAAAGGTTCTATACCTTGTCGAACAATAATTGTACTAAATATTTTGTTAATACTAAGGGTTTTAGCAACGCATTACGTAGCAACAATTTTTGCTGTAAGAAGATGAAAGAGTAAAACATCGAGAATAAGCTTTTTCATTTTTTGAGTTTTTATTAAGGTTATTTCAGTTTTTAAATCATCTTTTAAATTTTGGCATTAAAAAAAAAGAATTTAAACTTTATCTCATGCCATTTATCTCGTGCTTTTATCTCATGTTTTATCTCATGTCTATCTACTGCTCTTAGTGTCATATAACCTATTTCACAAATGTAAGCTGTTGATTAATCATATTAATTAGCAGTTGATTAATTATAAACATTGATCATATTAATGTTTTTTTTTACAACAAATCTCATACCTATATATATATATATATATATATATATATATATATATATATATATATATATATATATATATATATATATATATATATATATATATATATATATATATATATATATATATATATATATATATATATATATATATATATATATATATATATATATATATATATGTATATATATATATATATATATATATATATATATATATATATATATATATATATAAAATAATAAATTTTACTGTTATTTAGATAAAAATTTGTTCCAAGGAGATATCCAATTAGATCCAGACGAAAGAGTAGGCTCAAACGGTTATGCAAGTATTATAGGAGGTCGTTGGCCAAACAATGTTGTTCCATACGATTTGAGCAAAATGAGTAAATATTGTTAACAAGTTTTTAAATATAAACAAATACGAAGTTTAATTAGTTTGTATATAAGTTGCTTTGTGTATTAGTCATTTTTTGTATTTCACTATATGGATATGTAACTACAAATTATGAAGTGTAAATTATTTAGGTACGGATGCACACCAAAGTATTTTAAATGCTATTGCCGATTATCAAAGACGTACGTGCTTAAAGTTTGTGAAAAGAACAAACGAACCTACCTACCTTAGTTTCTTTGTCGGCAATGGGTAAGTCATACTTTATGAACGCAAAGTAAGGAGAGTTGATAAACATTATAATCAATAAATGTATTATTGACGTATGGCCGGGTATGTTGAACTTTTTAAATTTTAATAATTGACCAATTTTTTACATTTAGATTTTTAAATTACTATTTGAACTATTTTATATTTATTTTAACAACTCTTTGTATAAGAATTTTGCTTAAGTAAATCTTTGTTAAACTAAAAGCGACTAAATAGCACAAATATAGGAAAGTAACGAAAAATAGGTAAGTATCGGAGTTTTGTCCTGTTCACATGCTCGATAACATTGCCCTCTTTACACTAACTTAAAGAAAACTAATTATGTGTCAATGTAAAATAACCTCTATAAGTGATTTTTTGTTGTTTCATCAAATATTTTATATTTATTTATTTCTTTTTTTTTTCTTTTATTAAATTTTTAAAAGCTAAAATTTTTGTTTTGTTTATATGTTGTTTAACTAAACAGTAGAGTTGCCAACTAAAAATAGTCGATGTATGTGCTTTAGTGCACGTATTACCTAAAAATATACGTCTATTTTTTACAAAATTTAAGATCTCAACACACTGTACGCAAAAAATACTCTAAAATGTAAAAATGAATTTTAAATTTGGTTTTTTAAATTTTGAATTGATATTTGCAGATGTTCTTCTCCTGTCGGTTACAGACAAGGAAGAATTAACACCATTTCGTTAGGTAGAGGATGCTTGGGACACGGCACTATATTACATGAAAT